TCCACCCTCCTGCCCCACATCTCCCCCGCCCCCCAACCTGGTAGGTGAGCTCCTTGCCCCTCCTCTCGGCCTTGCGGAGGCCCTTGACGCTCTCGGCGTGTCTCTTCTGCTCGGCCTCCAGCTCGGCCTCCAACTCTTTGACCCTGGTCTCCAACTTCTGGAGCTGCTTCTTCCCCCCCTTGAGGGCCAACTGCTCGGCCTCGTCCAACCGCAGCTGAAGGTCCTTCACCGTCTGCTCCATGTTCTTCTTCATCCTCTCCAGGTGGGCGCTGGTGTCCTGCTCCTTCTTCAGCTCCTCCGCCATCATGGCCGCCTGGAGAAGCAAGAAGCACCACCACCAGAAGTTCCATCTTCTCCATCCAAGAAGGTTCTCCAAGATGGTGGTCTTCCATCCCACCCAAACTCACGTCGGTGATGGCCTTCTTGGCCTTCTCCTCGGCGTTGCGACACTCCTGGATGGCCTCCTCCACCTCCGTCTGCAGCTGGGAGAGGTCGCTCTCCATCTTCTTCTTCTGGTTGATGAGGCTGGTGTTCTGGAGGGGGGGGGGGGGGGGGGGGGAAACTCGCTGCGTCATGGCTTTCCCCCCCCACCGCCCTCCCCGCACGCCGATTGGGCGGCGGCGCGGCGAGGGAGGGCGGCGATTGGCCCGAATGAGCAAGCGGCTGCGGTAACGGACGGCGCTCGAAGGAAGGGGCGGGGCCGGCCGAGCAAGGGCGAGCGGGGACGCGGATTGGGCGGAGGGTGGCCGCTCGCGCGCGCGCGCGCGGTGGGGGCGGTTGGTGCTGCCCAACGGTCGCCGCGCGCCTGAGGGGAGCCTGGGCTGGCCCGCGGGGCGCCTCGCCGGGATAAGCCGCTCCGCCACGGGCCCGGGAGACGGATCCGGCGCTGCCCCTTGTGCAGGGAGCGTCACTCTCGGTGAGGCGGAGCGCTGCAGGCGGTTGGCGGCGGGGAGCTGGCGGGCCCCGGGAAGCGTTAACTAGTCGGTAGAGCCGGAGGTTCCAAGGGCAGCGCTTGCCGGGCCGGTTGTCCCGAAAAGTGTGGCTCCGCCGGGCCGCGGCGCTTATTGATAAGCCCTCTCGGTGCCTCTCCGGAGCGTTCCCTGTGCACGCTGAGAGATGTGGTCGCGCTGGGGAAACGCTGGGGCTGAACCTCCGTGAGGTGCCGGGAAGGGAAGGGAGAGGGGTGGAGGAGCCGTGTCGGCGATGGGATCCGTGAGCTTCACACTCCGGATAAAGTGAGGGCTAAGGGTGACTTCAGCACCTACTGGGTGCAGAGTGTAAGGGAGGGAGGCAAGAAGAACAGGAAACTTGCCTTTTTCTGCATTTACTGCTACTTACCTTGCACACGTTTTTGGTAACATTTACCCGTTCCACATTTTATTGAAAGATGAACATTATTTAGAAGTAAAAATCATGTTTTCTATGTGTATCTTGTCTTTTTTGGGGGTGCACTCATATCTAACATGCAGTTATGCTAGGGTACAATTGACTGTTACAGCTATACCAACCTAAGAGTTTTATGATGTTAAGGGAAGTGAGTTTTCTTCCCCTCCCCGATCTTAACCATTCATTCCCATCTATGAGCATTCATCTAACCTGGTAAGAGGGCAGGGAACTAAAGCAAAAGAAAGCTATTTATACACCAAAACTGACTTGCTTCTGAAGACGAGGACAAGCTTTAAGCCGACATCTGCATTGTTTGGCATAACCTGGTTGCACCCTTCATTTTCTGGATGGTAGGATCTTGAAGGCTAAGCACTGGTAACCGTGAAACAGCAGGTGCATGCCCTTAGTGAATTAATACGTAGTGAAAAGACAGTTATTTCCTGAGAAAATGGGGCGTTTGTGTACTTTGTCAGTGATGGCTGTGGCCGATGTCATTTGCATGTGCCTTCTCCATGTCCAGCCTCTCTCTTTTCAACTCACTACGGTACAGATTCCCACTTTGTCACAGCTCTGGAGTGCCACACTGCAGGGATTGGTGTGGTCCTACAACACGGATGGATTGGGGGGGGGGCTGCAGGGAAGAGTAGCATGTGGAAATCCTGCCTTTGTGAACAGTGATGTTGCTCAAAGCTCTTTAAGAGGTGTGGAGGGACCATCCTGCCTGATGTACATCGCAGTACTCCTTTTTGCCTTGCGTGTTTTAAAAGACGTGTCTTTTTAAAAGACAGGATTGCACTAGGCGTAATCCTGCAGGACCATCCCTTGAGCAGCTCTGCAGCTGTGCTGTCATCTTTGCATCTGCTCCCTCTGGAACCATGCCATGGTCCAAAATTTGGGCCATTTACCGAGCCAGAGGACTGAACTAAGATAGGAGTTACCTGCCAATGACATAGATGGATTTTGAAACACAGGTGAGGTTTGCAGTAGTTACACTTCCAACTTCCATATCCTTACAGTTTTTATTACTTGCCTGTCATATTTAGGCACTGTGCTTTTCACTTTGCTGAAACCTAATCTGCATTTTCAGAAGATATATTCATACCCTTCCATGTGCTCAGAATGGTGAGCATCAGTATCTTGTCATTTCTGAGAGTTTCTGTGTTGCTCCCTCCTTGACTCTCCACTTCTCTTGAGTGGGTCTTCTCCGTTACTATCTTTTTCTTATTCCACTCACCTTTTGCACCCTTGTCTATTTCTCTTGTTTCTTTTAATTTGCATTTGTTCGCTCTCTACTCGTTTGGGAGAGCTCCCTACCGCAGGGTTTCTGGCCCCCCTTTTAGCTGCTTTATTGACTGCCTCATTGCAGTGGAGTTGTCCCACCTCACGACACCCTCTGCACTTGCTGAGCCTGCGTTGCAGCAGGAACCCAGAACTCATCCCTCCTGGGCATGGGTGGTTTTAAACTTGTAGAAAAACATATGACTTCCTTTTCTTCCACTGGTTCTTTGGGAAGAATTGGCTAACAATCCTTATTCCAGCAGGATCACCGAAGTGCTTCCTTCTGTTTTGTCTGGGACA